GCTGTTGTTTTATCAGGTAAAAAAGTTGTTCCCGCATCCGATCCGGACATTGGGGATTGCCTTGTTAGTGAGACAACTTCCTGGGCCTTCGGCATATTGTGGTAGGGTGGCCAGTTCCTTTCCACGCCGCCTTTACTTCCCCTACTCGAAGTCAGGTACCCATTACCGCTGGTTTGGCTGGAGGGGGCGAAAAAATCCCTGTCCGAACCGAGGCTCGAACCTGGACTTTCCGCTTCAGAGACGAGCGCACTACCTGCTCCGCCACCGCACCCTCCGTTTCATCAGGTACGGCTGTATTATTATCGAGTTCTCCTGTCTTTCTGTAATGATATGTTCACTACACTGCCGTAAGCTGACAAAACACCTTTTCTACATTTTGGTGCCCAAATTTGTTATTTGCTAAATTGAAAGTCTGACCAGTTACTCTGTTTTTGTGAAAAAAATCAAAGTGAAACTGTGACTAGTTATTTTTCCATAAATTAGAATTCAAATTTCGGAATGACTCTATTTTTCAACGGTTACGCTGACAACCCCCCCCCTGTTTTTCTCGAAACTGCAGTGAATTTTTGAAAAGGCGTTATTTCAGCTAGCGGCAGTACAGTACGTGATGTCCCAGACAGGCATGAGGGTCGACGTGACCCAACCGTTTAGCGGGTGTCAACGGAGACATAAAGAAACATGCTTAGAATAACAGTCTATACAGGGCTTTTTTGGGGGGCGCTCTCCTTTTCCACGTTGTGCCTATTTCGCTGCCCGAGAACGTTTTGAATTTGCGGTTTACTCTCAATTTCCTGAGAGAGATATAGAGCTACGACTTGGGGTTTTTTGGCTTCGTGGTTGGGGGATACGCGGGCTTTCATGGAGGTCGCTTCTACAAAAGAAAACCCAACCAAAAACAGAACAAATAACTAGTTACAAAACACTTTTTTCGCTGATACTTTCACTCTCCCTCCCCACACACACGCACGCACATACGTACAAGCACGAATGCGCGCGCGCACACCCGCACACACACACACACACACACACACACGCACACACACACACACACACACACAGACACACACTCTCTCTCTCTCTCTCTCTTTCTCTCTCACTCTACCTCACTCTCTCTCTCTCATTCCTGCTCTCTCTCTCACCCCCTCCCTTCTCTTTCTCTCTCTCTCTCTCTCTCTCTCTCTCTCTCTATCTCTCTCGCTCACTCTTGCTCCCCCCGCTTTCTCTCTCTTATCTCCCGCGTCTCTCTCTCTCTCTCTCTCTCTCTCTCTCT